CACCTCTTGCTGTCACCTCCTGGTGTCACCTCCTGTGGTGTCACCTCCTTGGTGGCATCATTTCCTGATGGTGTCACCTCTTGGTGTCACCTCCTGGTGGTGCCATCTCCTGTGGTGTCACCCCTTGGTGGTGTCACCTCCTTGGTGGCATCAGGTCTTGGTTGTGTCACCTCTTGGTGGTGTCACCTCTTGGTTGTGTCACCTCCTTGGTGGCATCAAGTCCTGGGGGTGTCACTGCCTGGAGGTGTCATCTCTGGGTGTCACCTCCTGTGGTGTCACCTCCTGGTGGCACCAAGTCTTGGTGGTGTCACCTCTTGGTGTCACCTCATGGTTGTGTCACCTCCTGGTGGCGTCATTTCCTGATGGTGTCACCTCTTGGTGTCACCTCTGTCACCTCCTGGTGGTGTCGTCTCCTGTGGCGTCACCTCTTGGTGTCACCTTTTGGTGGTGCCACCTCCTGTGGTGTCACCTCCTGGTGGCATCGAGTCTTGGGGATGTCACCTCATGGTGGTTTCATCTCTGGGTGTCACCCCTTGGTGGTGTCACCTCCTTGGTGGCATCAGGTCTTGGTGGTGTCACCTCATGGTGGTGTCATCTCCCGTGTTGTCACCTCCTGGTGTCACCTCCTGTGGTGTCACCTCCTTGGTGGCATCATTTCCTGATGGTGTCACCTCTTGGTGTCACCTCCTGGTGGTGCCATCTCCTGTGGTGTCACCCCTTGGTGGTGTCACCTCCTTGGTGGCATCAGGTCTTGGTGGTGTCACCTCCTGTGGTGTCACCTCTTGGTTGTGTCACCTCCTTGGTGGCATCAAGTCCTGGGGGTGTCACTGCCTGGAGGTGTCATCTCTGGGTGTCACCTCCTGTGGTGTCACCTCCTTGGTGGCACCAAGTCTTGGTGGTGTCACCTCTTGGTGTCACCTCATGGTGGTGTCACCTCCTGGTGGTGTCATTTCCTGATGGTGTCACCTCTTGGTGTCACCTCTGTCACCTCATGGTGGTGTCGTCTCCTGTGGCGTCACCTCTTGGGGTCACCTCTTGGTGTTGTCACCTCCTTGGTGACATCAAGTCTTGCTGCTGTCACCTCCTGGTTGTGTCATTTCCCAATGGTATCACCTCTTGGTGTCACCTCTTGGTAGTGCCATCTCCTGCAGTGTCACCTCTTGGTGTCACCTCTTGGTGGCATCAGGTCTCGGTTGTGTCACCTCCTGTGATGTCACCTCCTTGGTGGCACCAAGTCTTGGGGCTGTCACCTCCTGGTGGTGTCGTCTCCTGCGGTGTCACCTCTTGGTGTCACCTCCTGTGGTGTCACCTCTTGGTGTCACCTCCTGGTGGCGTCATTTCCTGATGGTGTCACCTCTTGGTGTCACCTCTGTCACCTCCTGGTGGTGTCGTCTCCTGTGGCGTCACCTCTTGGTGTCACCTTTTGGTGGTGTCACCTCCTGTGGTGTCACCTCCTGGCAGTGTCACCTCCTGTGGTGCCACCTCCTGTAGTGTCACCTCCTGATGTCACCTCCTGCTGTCACCTCCCCATGTCACCAACTGGGACATGGAAGGGAGGGGGGAGCACCGTGGTGCGTTGTGTCCCTGATGTCCCCTCGTGTCACCAAATGGGTGACAGCCACCATTGACGTCACCTCTTGGAGACGTCACCCCTTGGAAATGTCACCTCCTGATGTCACCAAGAGGGACGTGGAAGGAGGGGGAGCACCGTGGTGCGTTGTGTCCCTGATGTCCCCTCGTGTCACCTCACCCCCCTTCTCTACGCCACCCCCACGTCCCCAAATGTCCCTATGGGGGGACGTGGAAGGTCCAGCTGTCACCGCTGTCACCTCCCGGTCCCCGCAGCGTCCCCGATTGTCACGTGGTGGAGGTGGAGGTGACCGGCAGGGGGGACAAAGGCAGAGCTCTGCGTGTCACCAGCAAACGAAGGAACCCCGCGGCCACCGGCGCCGTCACCGGCGAAGCCACCAAGGCCGCCTTCTGGAGCAGCGTCCTGGGTCAGCTTTTGTCCCCTCCTGTCACCTCCTGTCATCGTGTCACCTCCTATTCCCCCCTGTTGTCGTGCCATCTCCTGTCACTGGCACCTCCTGTCCCCTCCTGTCACCATGTCACCTCCTGTCCCCTCCTGTCATTGCATCCCCTCCTGTCACCCCCTACCCCCTTCTGTGTCCCTTCCTGCCACCTCCTGTGTCCCCTCCTGTCCCCGTGTCCCCTCCTGTCACCTCCTGTCATCGTGTCACCTCCTATTCCCCCCTGTTGTCGTGCCATCTCCTGTCACTGGCACCTCCTGTCCCCTCCTGTCCCCATGTCACCTCCTGTCACTGCGTCCCCTCCTGTCACCCCCTGCCCCCTTCTGTGTCCCTTCCTGCCCACCTCCTCTGTGTCCCCTCTTGTCATTGTGCCCCCTCCTGTCCCCATGTCACCTCCTGTCCCCTCCTGTCCCCATGTCACCCCCTGTCACCTCCTGTCCCCTCTTGTCATTGTGTCACCTCCTGTCACTGGCACCTCCTGTCCCCTCCTGTCCCCACGTCCCCTCCTGTCACCCCCTGCCCCCTTCTGTGTCCCTTCCTGCCACCTCCTGTGTCCC